CTGCAAAGTTAGACATAAAACAAATGCATTCAAATTGACCACTGAACTGTAAATGAGACATTTACATTGAGTTAATTATAAAAAAGAAAAAAAACACCTCTGATCTTATGCTTATTTCATAATTAAAGTCTAGAGGTAAATAGAAGAGAAATTATTTTTGTTGAGGAAAAAAAAGAAAAGCTCTTGATTTTACAGTAATATGTAATCAGATGATGGCTATTTATTCATATATATAACAGTACCTCCTGGCTGTAAAAGAAGTTCATTGAGATGTTAAAAAATATTTTCTCTCTTTGTGTGAATTGCTTCTGAAATTACTAAAGGTTAAAAAATAAAAAAAAGTGTATTATGAATATTTTTGTTGCAAAAAAAAGATGTTGACATAATTTGTAAAAACTCTGTCATCCTTCTCTGATATGGGATTTGATTCTTTCAGGGTGCGGACACTGCAAAAAAATGAAGCCAGAGTTTGACGAAGCAGCTGAAATACTCAACAAGGGCGCCAACGTAAGTTCCTCTGCTTGCGCCTGTTTTTTAAGCTGTTTGCTAAACTTACATGTGTGAGTGTTGTTGTGTTTCAGGTTACATACGTCACACAGAAACACAGAGCCTCCTTCCCTCTTAGCTCAGCTGACTCCATCGGCAGCCAGCGTAGCAGCACAGCTCAGCTTTGGATGTGTTTCTGATTAGTTGGGTGCGGCCCCGATCTTTCTTTGTGTCATTATGTCCTCTGCGGTAATCGAACACTCCCAAGTCCTTAAAAACTCCAGCCTAGTGACTGAAACAATTAGCTCATCCCTGACAGTTCCTCCGGCTGAACTCTTGGATTCTCTCCCTGTGCTTTCACACTGCCCAGTACTGGAGCATAATGAAGGAACTTTGGCAATATGTGATTTAAATGGACTGATGCTGGTCTGACCTTAAGACTCACTGGTTTTTTTTATAATACCTCTCTTTTACTTACAACAGAAGGTTGGGTTTATAAATAATTAAAGAATTATTGAGTCAATATTTGGTTTTGAGGAACCTGGAGAGCCTACTGTTTTACCTCGAGTCTAATGAAGTCTGAATAACAGTATTGGCTTTCTGATTCAAGACAGACAGTTAGTAAACAACAGCACTTAGTGAAACTTTGAGACAAAACATATTAAATATTATCAAATAATATATGTAGGATTTACTAGAATCCATCTTATCAAATAAATTTGAGAAATAGTCTAATGTTCCACCATACATCGTTATCCTAACGACTTGAATTGAACCGAAAATAAGAAAACAGCGACAAACATATAACTAAATACTTCCTGTTGTTTAGGAAAAAATATTTCACCTAACTATAATTTCGGTTCCTTTTCCAATATACAAACATTTTGTCTCACTTTCCTCACTGCACAGAGTCCTGGTGTGTTGGCAGCATTGGATGCCACAGTGCACAAGGCTGTGGGGGATCGCTTTAAGCTCTCTGGCTTCCCAACTGTTAAGTATTTTGAGAAAGGTGAGGAGAAGTACACGCTGCCTCAACTCCGGAACAAAGACAAGATCATGGAGTTCATGCACAAGTAAGTCACATATCTTCGAGTCGACATAGCGTCTTGTTTACTTCTGCCCCAAAACCACAGACTGTGTAAAAGCAGATGATACTGAGCTAAAAAGTTTTAGCTCTACTCTGTTTTGTTTTTGATTAGCTGTAACATAGTTTTACCAAACATGGTCCAAGCTCAAATTAATCTTTGGAAAAAGGTCCCAGTGAAATGACGTCAATCCAGTAACTATGTAACAAGTTTGCAGACATTGTTAAAAAAAATAAAGTCTCACTGAGTTTTATGACGCTGACATAACGTGACTTCTCCTCAGTCAGTTTTCCTTCTTTTGTTTTATTGATTGTCTACGTTTCATTGCCTATATTGCCGTTATGCTGCTGATTATATGCGAAATACTGCTCTGCTATTTTCCACGTCTTTAGTCCCCAAGCACCCCCTCCTCCAGAGCAGTCCTGGGAGGAGAAGCCCTCCAGTGTGAGCCATCTTGGATCTGAGGATTTCCGAGAAGCATTAAAAAAGAAGAAACACGCTCTGGTCATGTTCTATGCTCCATGTGAGTGCCTCATTCTTTAGTTCCATTTAATATAATACCACTCAAAGAAAAGTGGTCTACACACTGTCTACAGACAGTTTATCTGCATAAAGTTGCAACCATGTTTGATTGTGATTTTTCCCATGACTCTATCCTATAAAGAACAGTGTCCATACATAACTGTGCGTTGTCTGCCAAGCTCCTCATTACACAGTATAGACTACATCCTCCACCCAAACCTCAGGGAGACTCCAGCATGATGTAGCTGGCTGAGAATAGACTTGTCAAAGGAACAGTGAAAACAGTAATATAAGCTGCTTTACCTTACATTCCCATTGGAGAAAAAAAAAACATTCTTTTCCTGAATTTGTTTCGGAAGCTTACAGTATTTCAGTGTTTCCCAGAACCTTTTCTGCAGTGTTCCACTGTTGTAGACAGGACTGTTGTTGAGCACCACTGTTTCAGAACCCAAAACTTTTATTTAAAATTCCCATAAACACCTCTGTTACTGTAGTTTCATTTGGCACCAAGTCAAATTCCAGTTTCACTCAAAGTGTGACATCTGTCTTTGTGTTTGAAATCATCTCAAAAATGATTTATTTATTGACGTAGTAACCTGGTACTGCGAACCTTGCCTCCCTCGAACAAAGCACAGACGCTGAAGGAGCACCTGGGCTGTTTAAATATCAGCACACGAAGTGCCACACGGCACCTTTAGCCACCAGGTGTATGCCCCTGGTGTGGGCTTCAATGTAGGATGGGTCACACAGTGGTCAGGCTGCATCCTCCATTCAGCCTCTTGGCGCTTCATTCTACAAAGAAATGACCCACAGGCCCAACAGGTGGCAGAACCTTCCACCTCACCCGTCTGTGCTGCACCCTGCTTACTGATGAGGTGTAGATCCATAGGAGAACTGTGTTCTTTTAGAGACATTTGTATATAATATTTCTTTTTTTCTTTATCATCCACATCCGTCCTTCACACACTCAGCTTCCTCATCCCCTTGTTGGCAGCCTGTTGTCACAGTGTGAGGAGGGAAAACACTCCCTCACATGCGTCCGGAGAGCTTTAAAGGCCATTTAATGGTGCGGCTAAGAAGGTACTTAGGGTAGAAACTGTTTTCTGAAGCTGTGTGGACCTACCCTCAGAGGTATAACTTTGGAAAGAAGATAAATGGGTGGATGCTGAGTTAATGTTCAAATGAATCGAAGACAGAGTTATCATTGTCTGTATGGATGCCAGTGTGGGCATGAACACACACACACACACACACACAGTGAATGCTTAATTATTACTATAGCTGCCATCAGTCTGTGCACTTGCAGACTGTAAAATCCATTTACTGTGGGATCATTACGTTAATGCTGTTAATGATTCATGGGTGCAAATACTGAGAGCTTTATTATAACATGGCCAGTGTCAGCAGTAGGTGGCTGAATGTACAGTGTGTTGGCTTGTACTTTTTAATAATACTAATTTATCATTTTGGTGTGTTGTCCTACTCAGAGGATTTAATCTTCTTGTGTTTGTGCGGTTAATTGAGAAAATGAAGTGAACTCCACTTCTGCAGGGCTCATCTAGTCTTATCTAGTCGTACGACTGAAATCAAGGTCTTTTCAAAATGTGCTTTTAGTCGTTGGAAAAAAAAGTTTGGCAAAGCTTTCATTTAAGTGTGTTTAAAATTTGATTTTTTGCTGTGATTTGATTTTTGATTGTGATTTAATTTCTTGTTCATTTCTGACAAATGGAAATATTCAGAACTGAACTGCTGAAAAGTCCTGAGTGATGTTCCTTTATAGGTTTTAATTGTTAAAATTTGACAGTTATAAAATGTTCTTCTTTATTTAGAACTGGGTGACTTTTGCTCATACATTTTTTAGGAGCACTAACATTTTGTGACGTTACTACTAAGTGTATATTAGCTGCACCAGGCACTGACTCACTGACTCCACTATTGTTTGCTCTGATTACTGACACTTTCCGTGTGAATGAATGTTAATATACACACATACAAAACATAAAAAGACCTCTTCAGAACCACGGCTCAGTTTCCTAGAATGATTGTCTTGTGCCACACACAGCATTGTGGTGACAATGACAAATTAACCTTTCACTCTGGACAAACCCGACTGTTGTTTTTCTGCTTCACGGGGTAAAATTCACTTTAGTCCTGTTTTAAAAACTCACTCACTGAATGTGTATCTATTCCAAAAATGAGCTTTATGGTCTTGAAATTCACTGAATGTGTATCTATTCCAAAAATGAAATTGACCACTGTACATACAACCCACATGGATTGATTTTTTTTTTCTTTTCAGAAAAGCAAAACTTTCCAGTGCTGCCTTAGCTGCCTCCTTTTGTGAGCTGATTGATCAGACATTTCACCCAAATTGTTTTGTGCAAAACATTTTTGCCTTGTCATTGGGGCAATTTACTGTCTTCTTATTTGGAAAAATCAATTTGTCACCATGTGTTCGTCCCAGGTGGGGGTTTTTCCCCACCTTTCCTGCAGAACATTTCAAATCACTACCAATGGTGACAGCAGTTTGATTGCATAGAACGGAGCATTTCTGGATATTTCCAAGAAAACAGAAAAGAAAGAAAAACTTGTCACTGCAGCAATCAATCAGTTTGATTGTGAGGTCTGCATCTTTCATTCAGAGCGAGGTGTAGCTGAAATCTGAAAACCTTCCTCTGAAATGATTGCGAGTTACCTGCACCTGTAAACATGATTTAGCCGGGGAGCGGTGGAGGTATGTTTGTGAAGGTGTTGACGTACTGTAAATGATGGGTGCTCGAGGGGAGAGAGCTGCAGGGCAGATTGTGTTTATTGCAGCGATAAAGAGAATTACAGTCTTTTATAAAGCACTCTGCACCATCTCTAATATGTACCTGTAAAAAGCTCTAGACTTGTGACAGTATCTGTTTTATGAACAGACTTGACATGAAATAAATGCCACCTTAATGTGATTTGGTTTGAATTAGTGTGTGTGTGTTTTTGTCATCATCACTGTTCTTTGCTGCTGTTCATAGATCAAATGTTTAAAATGTTAGTGATTTGTCACGATCATCGCTAACAATATAACATCTGTGGGGATTTTGTTTTGTTCTTTTTCTCATCTCCAGGGTGTCCACACTGTAAAAACGCTGTCCCTCACTTTACAGCAGCGGCCGAGCTCTTCAAAGAGGATCGCAAGGTTTGTGTTGCCTCCATGTTTTCACTTTGTTATACTTTGTTGTGTTAAAGTCGTGTGACTTTAACACAACTTTTCAAATATGACAATAATAGAAAATTGTCAATTGCATATACAGAGTCCTCAACTTACATCCAAATTCTGTTACAGGAAATGGCAATGTAACCATAAAACGCTGTATTTCGAGGACGTTGCAAACCGAGGACCTCGGATACAAATAGTCTAAAGGTTTAGATTTTTGTGGAACTGTTTATCTACCATGTGGGCTGTAGACCTGAGCCCCATCTGGAACTCCCTACCACCAGAAGTTTTTATTAGCAAGTTATTAGCACCAGTTTATTTCTAGTGGTACTGTAGTAGTGTCGCTACTTCCACTACTATTATTATTATCAGTCTTATAATCACCACTGTAATTACAGATTTAAGTTTAGTCTGTTAATTGAATTTTTACACAGTGAAAATGTTCTCTGTTTACACCCCAGATTACCCCAGATTTTACTTATTGGTAAAGATTAATCATTTGATACACAAACTATTTCTACCAACTCCTAAAAAATGTGTCTCTCCCAATACCAGGAGTGTGATCAATATTAAATCACAGCAGCACCAGGCCAATATATTTATATATATTATACAAATATGTATCTGCGTGTGTGTGAGAAAAACTCACAGTATATATGTATACTATATATACATATATGTTTGTGTTGACGTGTATTTATCAATCTACATTTATGCATATGTACATGGTATACATATAGAGCAAATACATGTGTATTTGCCATTATCTATTCCAGTCCTTTATGCAGTGCATAAATGTATTTATATATATATATATGTGCAGTACATATCCATATAGTTATACATACATATACTTCCTTTTGTTTGTTTTTTTGTTCAACACACTCACAACGTCTTCCAGACTGTCTCCCTTCCCCAGTTTTCTCATAAAAATGTAATAATTATCCTCACATTGAACGAAGCAGTGACCTCGACCACTTTGTCATACATTTCTGAGGCAATGTTTTAACATTTTACGATAGCACCCAGCCCTAACAGACAAGCCGGAAATGTCTCAGTTTTAAACACTGGCCATCTGACTCTCTTCTCCGGCTCGACCTTCCAAACCCCCACATTCCTGTGTTGATCTGTTTATTCTTCAAATGAAGACAGAAATGGGAAGAAATAGTGAAATATTTCCACAAAATTACCTAAAATGGCTGCTGTAACAAGTTGACAACAAGTCTAGATGATGTCAGTCTGAGAAGAACTACGGAAACTAGAACATATAAATGGGACACAGGGATGTTTATCCCTGTCAGGTTCTTTGTTGGAGCTGCGGTGTTGACAACCGTATCTACGTGGTAAAACCTTCACAGGCTGCTGGAAGAGATTCCCCTACCCCCCCCCCCCATCTCTGGAGGTTATACACTGTGTGTGCAGAACTTTTAAATCCCCTAATTTCAGCATCTCTCTAGTGGCCAGTGGAGGCGTGAAGTGGTGTTTGACAAGAGTAAGTCTTAGGGCACGGTGTGTGTTTACTTGGCGATCCTCCCTGTTTATAAAACCGCCCGAGGCCCAGTGTATTAGCTGCCTTTACCTCATTTACCAAAGACAAACCTCAGCTCAGCCTCATCTTTGAAGACACAAGCAACTGCCCGTACACTTTCCGTGTTGTATGACAGCACGGGAGCCGTGCACAGGGTTTGTTCTGAGCGGTTGGTCTTTTTTTCCCCCTGCAGGTTCTAATCAATAGCAGCAGTCAGAGTGCACTGGCTGAAACAGCTTGTTATTTAAAGCAACTACTGCCCAACACTTTCAGCCATTTAGCTCACAGCTTGAGTTTCTACCTGCTCTCTATTATTATATGTGAGTATTTAACCAAATGTTTGGAGGGCCAATGGGATGGTGATGTTTCTGGATGTAGAAACAGACCTGGTCTTAATACCAATGTTTCCCAACACATTTTTTGGGCCTGCAACCGTTTCACATAAGAGAAATCCTGTGACAAACCGCTAAACAAAAATCTTTGAATTGCAATGACCTAGTTTCAATTTCCTCCAAATTTACTTACTCAGCATTAAATGCTGGCCTTAGTTGAACATAACCCTAAAATACTGTATTTACAGGATCTTTTTAACCACCGGTCACCATTGACCTGCAAAGAACTTGTATTTTAACCATATATTATCCAATATATAAATACATTATTATTTTTCTCTTTTTTAAAATTATTATATGATTTATTTTATTGTTGGAAAGCTGAGTAAGAACAGAACAGATTTGGTGTTTTATCACTTTTATAACCACTGCTCATCAGTGTGACACTGGAGGATTGAGACGGAATCGACCCGTAATATGCTGCCGCTGGGAATCTGGTTGCCGTCGGATCAATGATATGATGTGTGGTTCTGTGTCTCGCAGAGATGAATCAGGAATGGAAGCGTCAGTGGACTTTGAAGAACACAGTCTGGACGACTTCATTTTGTTCTGTCAATTCACTGCAACTCTGATTGATTACCCGGGGCTTGAGCAGTGGGATTGTGTCCGTAGTTAAATGATGTCCCTCGTTGGCTCCACCACTGCTGCTTCAAGTACTGATGTCGTCTCTCAAACTGTCATCACTCACAGGGTCATCAATTTGAAGGTTGTGTTTGTTCTAAACAGGAACTTTTTTTTCGGGGGGAACTGTTCATCCCTATAAATAATAAGCTGCTTCGTCAGCTGAATTTTTGTTGACTGTTGTGTTTTAGAAAAAAAAATAGATAAAACAGCTTGGTTCTGCTGATTCAACACACCTTGCACCAAGTCTGTTAAATGGGAGTGGGAGAGCACTTAGACCTCTGGTTAAAGGACTTCATTTACTGATTGTAGACAAAGACTCCGTCTTTATTGGCTCTGCATTACTTACTCCAGTAGTAAAGACCCTTCTGCTGTCTACTTCTTCCATTTAGATATGTTGAACAATTCCTCTTCCTCATTTAATTGCATATTGGCTCTTGTGCAGATTCTCTCATCTGATTATTTGCATAAACAACAAGAGGACCACTTGTTGTTTGTAATTAGGACATAATTATTTTTTTTAAACGTGCGGTTGGTGGAAGAAAAGCGACTAATGTATTTTCCATCCTCAGCAGATCTGTCATTTCCTTCTTGGGTTTAAACGTGCAGACGGACTGGTAAACGATTATTTGATGTTGGCCAGTTGAATGTGCCGACAGAGGGTGACATTTGAGCTGTCCAAGAAGGACACGCTGAGTGAGCCGTGTGTCAGCGAGCCAGCATTTACACCTTGTCTGTAATCGATGCAACCGCTTTCCAACATAAATATTCCTTATTGTGTTTTCCTTTATTGTCAAGCACATGTAATACATACATGACATTGGCATAGAGCTTACATGAACACCATTGCAGTCGTACTTACTCCAATGACAACTCCAACTCCAGTGACATTTAATAAGTGTTTAGAAAATGTGTTTTAATTAGAGCATGGAGAGAAAACTAAAAAAAAGTTGCAGTTGAAAAGGCAACAAAGAAGGCAGTCATAGTTGCTCTCTAATAGAGTAATTACAGGCATTTTAGAAATGAGCAGTGAAAAATCCTGGCATCTAAAAGGCAATAAAGACGAACAAAAGCATTAACGGCGATATAATGAATATACTGTTAAAAGTTGCTAGACTATGCAAGTCATCTATTGATTAGCTGCTAAAATGTGAGAACAGATAACAAATAAAGGCTGTTCCACTTTGCTGGCTTTCAAAACAAAGTGATACCAGTTTTATTTACCTAATGGTCTGGATGCCTTTGAATGTACAGCACTCGTAGTAAGAATTACATGATGAAAGCAGGAGGGAGAGACACACTGTGGATGAGTGAAATATTTCATGTGTGTGTTTTTTGTTAGCCTAACAATGACATCCTGGGATACCAGAACTGCACTGTTTGATCCATCACTGCTCAAAAAGATGGATTTTAAATCCATAAAATTGAAGCAGCGTCAGTGCAGTAACAGGCAGGTTATACACAGAGAAATTTGAAAGACGCTGTAGGGCATTAATACCTTTTTGAGAGTTTTTCTCTAAAAGTATTGATTTGATGTTGAAGTGTTCAGATGTGTTTTTTCCCAAAATAAGAGTTAGGTTTTTAGGAAGTTGTAGAAAAAACCCACCTAGACATTACATTAAATATAAATAAATACATTAACTTTTAGGTTTATTTACATATTCTGGGCATGCTATTCAATGCACTGGTTTTCATATGTTGTAACAAATATGGTTATTACTTTACTTTGCTTCAGTCTTTGTTTTTATGAAATGGATTTCTGGAAACCAACTATTGCAGTTATGTAAGTGGTTTTATTTCCACCCTTCTTTGCCGAATATGAGACGTGAGCTGCTCAGTGGTCCTTAGTGGCTTCTCTGATTCTCCTCTTCATGACATATCAGACATTTTCAATTAGAAAATGTGAAATGCTTCATGAAAATATGGTTTGTGAAAAAATAAAACCACTAAAATATCTAGACAGTATTTTTTTTAAATGGCAGCCATTTTTCTGAAGATTGACTCACAGACTGTTGGTCTTATCCCAAAATATTTGGGAGGGTGACAAACGAATGGGCAAGAACCGATGCTAGGAGAGAAAAAATAACTACCTTGCCCTTCTTTGGTCCCTGTTTATGTAAATCTCTCCTTATAAATGTCACGAACAGAGTTGTTCACCACATTCTGTCTGAGCTCTTACCTGTGTGGCATTTCTCCACACTGATGCCAAGGAGTGAGGCAGTGTCTTCATTGACATTCGCAAGTCAAAAATAGCTACTGTCTGCGACGTCAGTAGAAGGAGCTGAAGGCAGAGAGCGCCATGAGTGTAAAGGTCAGGCTAAATAATGGGCAGGAGGAAGTGATTTGAGTTTGGTCGACAGAGATCAAGGTCGGTCCGACCCCAAGTCCATCTTGTTCCGCCAACCACAGCATATCAGTAAACACTGGAGGTGATTTCATTACATGTGGCACAAGCTTCACATGAATTCAGGAAGAGTAATTAGAATTTGGTGGTTGGAGGACGAGGGTAAAGGTCACCGTGACATGGCCGAAACACAAATTTGCAGAATTTTCGAGCTAATACCAAAACAATTTCACACAAATATCCAAACTGATAAAAATGGTATTTCTGTTGAGTGAAGCCAAAGGTCAATAACCTCATGGGGAAAGAAAAACATATATTTGGCCTCCATTCTGTTTGAAATATTGTAACAGTATATTTACGACTTCTTGAGAGGGCAATAATTGCAGTCATTGCAGTGCAGAAAGCATCGGATTTCTGTGATTGTTTTTTGTAACTGCCTATTTTATCTGCAACAATATCGAGTTTCCTGTAACACTTGTAATATCCTGTGTGTACTTTTCGTAGTATTGATCTACAGTTATAATAAGTTTTATATGCCGTCATTATGTAGCAAGTGCTTGACATGAACAGAAACAGTATTTTATTAAGGGCCGGACAATAAAAATTGTCTGGGTGTGAATTAAAATCATTTTCTGTGCAACAATAAAATGGTGACGGTGTCAGAATGGAAGCATAAATACATATGGTTTCCTGGCAGCTGCAGGAGACACAGGATGAAGCAGCTAGCATCAGTTAGCATCAGAGATTGTAATTATTGAGAGTTTACGCCAAAAGAAAACAACCAGTTTAGAGCAGAAGCTACACAAGATTCCTAAGGTTTATTCTCAGAGTTTTACTAATGCAAACACGATTTTGTTGTGTTAATATCTCTGCTCTGTTGTCTGTTTTTCAGATTGCTTATGCTGCTGTGGACTGTACCAAAGGACAGAACCACGAGCTATGCAAGCAGGAAGGAGTGGAGGGTTATCCGACATTCAACTACTACAACTATGGCAAATTTCTGGAAAAATACAATGGAGAGAGGGGGGTGAGTTCGAAGCAGGTCACACTTTTTTTTTTTCTAATTTTTTTTTTGTTTGGAAAAACCTCTAATCTGTGAATATGCAGTATATCCTCTATATCAATGTTTTTCAATGGTCGCCTGAAATGTCTGGTAATCAATTAAAAAAATGACTGATGAAAATATCTTTTCATCTAATTCTTATTCCATAAATGTTTGAATAAAAAGACCACACAATCATAAAGAACTGTATACATTTCCTAAATTTAAATGTAAAATCAGTGAGGCAATAGCACCCCTAGAGGAGTAGGGTGCTATTGCAGATGTGGCACAGCAAGACAAATAACAGTATTTTCTTTATTTGTGCTTCAATAGGAACATTTTCCAAATTTTTAATTGTATTTCCCTTATTAATGAGATTAGAGATTTTAGACTCACAGTGTTTTAACAAATGCTGAAGTTTATTGGGCTTATGACGCCTTCCTTCCACAGGAGGCGGGATTCATCGGCTTCATGCGCAGCCTCAGAGGACGTGACCAAGAGAAAGTTGTCAAGAGGAAGGAGGAGCTCTGAGTGCGGTGTGCAGGGAGGGGCTGCCACTCTGCACAGTTTGTCATTGCACTGTGACCTTTGAACCCAGGTAAGGGGCCCTATCTGCACTGTCAAGGGAGACTCCATGACCTCAGCAAAAGGCTATTTTTCTAAAATCGTGGTAATCACATTTTGAAAGTAAGAACCAACAGATTACCTTCAGTCAGACCAACCACTTGAGGCCATGTTTTTCCTGGATCTTCATGTCGGCAGAAAACACAAATACACAGATGAGAAAAAGTGATTTCATATTTTTTGCCCAAACACTGTGACTGCATATGTGAAAAACTACACCCTATACAGTATCTATGCAATACTGACCCCTGCCTTATACTCCCCTGGGAGTGGGGGTGGGGGGTCTGGACTGTGACTGGCCAAGACTTTTATTGGTAGGTGACAATGGACACACTGTCATTTCCTCCTGAAGAATCAAAAATGAGTTCTATCATCTCTGCTTCATCTCTGATGGAAACTCACGCTCCCTGCGTTTTGTTTTGTACAAATTCCTGTCTCAAACCCACAATCAGTCTGACTGTAGCTTTTGGAGATACTCATCATTCATTTGTAAGATCCCTTTGTTCAGCATAAACATCTAATATAGACATAGGAAGTGTTACTGTACTTAATTAGGTACTGTAGCAAACTGTGGTAACTGTAGTCATGGTCAGAGGGTAAATCATTTGTTAAAAACTGTCACCACATTTAGGATTTATGCATTTTTATTTGTTCAAAACTGTGGCCTTACATATCCAAAAATTAATTAATAATAGAGAAATGCTGGAGAAGAAGAAATGAAAAAAATAAATAAATGGGAGAAAATCAAAGGCCTGGTGACGTTAATGTTCCCTGCAGTAGGTCCAGAACATGATATGCCAAATATTACTGCATGTTGTCATAGAAATATTTTAGTTCTTTGTACGTCCAACGCTGTAGCTACTTTTGACTTGAAACGTTCTGTTTTCTTCAGTCTTAGTAAGAAATCCTCAGATTTTAACAAGGGTGTGATGCATAACAATCTACACAAGCACTTGACATGTCTGTGTATCCTAATGCACGTTGAGCAAAAAATGTCTAAAACACGATTCTATTCTTATGATTCTTTTTCATGTGTCTCATATGCATTCAGTCATTGGTCAGGTGGAGTGCTGGAACAACATTAACCTTTTTATTTCTTTTTTTTTTTTTTAATGAAGCAAGGCAGTTTTAAACTCATAGTGCTGTTATTCTAAGTCAGCAGTTATGGGGGGGAAAAATAAGAATTTTTGGACCAACCAGGAGTGACTTCCACTGCTTTGGTCAATACTTTGGATACAGCTTGGTAGACCTGGTAAATCTAACACGCTCAAAATATCATTGCAAATGCAATGCAGCATGACTTTTTGTCATAATGACTGAAATAAGTCGTTTTATGTTTCATGATATTTGAAATTATATTTTGAGCACAGTTAAAGGCACAAAAAACGTCTGCAGCCGTAGCACCACTCGAGCTGCATTTAAACACTGCAATAACTGCAGGTTGTTCAATATGGACATATTTTTAAAACCAATGTTCTCCTTTTCTTTCCTCCTGACTGCCCTCTGTGACCTCTGGGCAACAGCTCATCCTGCTTAAAAACATCTAAATGTCATGTTTGATACATTGTTTTTGTTGTATTTTACTAAATGTTTCTGACCAACATCATGGAACCAAGACCAATAACATGGGACA